ATATGAATGGTGCAGAAATCCATTGTGAATTATGCATAGCAGTTTACGGGCAAGATTCAGTCAGTGAAGGAACTGTCAGACAGTGGTGCAGAATATACATAAATTGGTGAATAAATGTTCACAATGAAGAGCGAAGTGGCTGGCCATCTGTAGTGAGTGATCTTGTTCAAATTGTTGACAAAAAATTTGTGAAAGATGATGCTTCACAATTTCAGAACTTTTCATATGAATTTCCACAAATTTCATGCATTGTTCTCTACAAGATTATCACAGGCTAGGCTGTCACAAGTTCTGTGCAAGATGGGTTCTGAAAATGTTCATAGCTGTGCACAAAATGCAGAGAAGGACTTTGGCTTTGGCTTTTTAGAGTGATACCACGAAGATGGCAATGAATTTCTGTCACATCATGTAACAGGTGAAGATACCTGGGTTTCATTTGCGAATCTTGAAACCAAAGAGGAGTCAAAGCAGTCGATGTATACACAATGACCAAACAAGCTGAAAGGATGGCTGGTGGCAACTGTTTTCTGGGGCAGAAAGGTTTGCTAATGTTCTGATGGTGGAATTCGTGCAACAAGGAACCACAATAACATCAGAAGTGTATTTGCTGAACACTAAAAAAAAAAAAAACTATTTAGGGCCGTTCAAAAGTTAAGACATGGAATGCTGACATCCAGTATAGTGCTTTATCTGCACACAGGTGCTCACACTCGATCACTGCTGGAGCATTTCATCTGGGAGTTGTTTGTCCACCCTTTTTACAGCCCTTATCTCAATCCAAGTAATTACCACCAGTTCACCTACCTGAAGAACAGGTTGGGATTACAGTACTTCAGCAATTATGAGGAGTAGATGGATGATGTCAAAACATGGCTGAGCTCACAGGCAGCAGACTTCTTTGACATAGGCATACAAAAACTTATTCCTGATACAGCAAGTGCCTCACTTCCTGTACTGACTACATTCAGAAGTACCTTAAGTATGTATTTTTTGTATATAATTAATTTTTTTCTCGGTGCTTGTTTTGTTAACAGTTTACTGGAGGTTACATTCTGAATAGCCCTTGTATTATGGAAATAAAGAAATGCAAATATGGGATGGCTTTCAGTAGCAAAATATTCATACCAAAAGTTATTAAATCTATGAATTGCTTGAAACATTATTAGAGGAAACATATATCAACATGAAGATACCATAAACTTCTCTTTCCTTATGTCATATGGAAGTTACAGACTAAAAGATTACTTTTCATAAATATTAGCCTCTACGGAAACAGTGAATGAAGTTTTATTTTATATAGTAATTTTAATTATGAAAGAAATTATATTGTCTTGTCTTCTTGTATTGGTAAGACTTTTGTACATTCTGTACAACTTTACCAGAATAACATCTCGTAGGTTAACAT